GAGCTATCTGGGAACAGACTGGGAAAGCTGTGTGCCCTTTGCATGATATTTTCAAAGTAACCTTAAGAGGAATAGGAAGAGAATGAAGGGAGGCTCAAACAAATAAAAAGATCTGTGCTTGGTAAGAGCACCATCAGTGGTGCCAACAGCTGCTGAGGAAGAGCTAGACTTAGGAGCTGGCTGAGAAGAGGGCATTAAAGAAGGGAGGAATATGGGCTGCAGAAGGTTTGGGATGGGACTGGAGGGGAGGGTCTCCCAACAGCAGTGGTAATGGCAACAATTAGAGATGGGGTTTAGGATGAGAGGGGAAGACAGAGTCAGTCAGGCAGGGTCTAGAGAGTGGTGCTAGGAATGAGCAGTTGAGTATTTGACTGAAGTCTATCAAAATATGAAGTTATTTTTTTCGGTAGCTATTCAGGATCCAAAAAGTATGACAGTACTGTTCTTTGTTCTCTTGCTTTTGTAACTGTGTCATCTAAAAACTTGGCTTCTGTTTTATGGTTGTTTAGGGTCTGCCCTTTGTGAGATATTTTGCACAATGTAGCCTTCAAAATGTTTCTCCTGTTTATTACTACCCCAGCCCTTTTTTTTTTTCTTCCAAATGTCATCTGTTTCATTTGAGAATTGTACTCTGGGGTGTTTCAATTATGTATGAATGTGGAGTATTTGGGGTGAGCTATTCACAAGTGCTTTCAATTTGCTGTCTGAACTTTGAATATGAACAGAATCACCAGTATTTTAGTTTCTAGGGCACTCTTAAATGTGCAGTCAAGATGCAGCTTTTGTTCCTGAGTGCTCAATTTTTGACCCTGTTTCTAGAAAGACCATATGAACCTTCCACATGAATTTTCCATAGAGTAAATTGCAAGCACAAACCAAGGAATTTGCTGTTTGCTTGAAGCACAGATGTCTACTCTGAGGCCTTCCTTCCCCTGGTGGCACTCTCTAGCAGTCTGCCTCTGTAGCCAAACATACTTGGTTTGAGTTTCTGAATGACGGGTGATTGACTTGCTTGTCATCTGTCAACATGTGAAATCTCCTACTCAGAAATGTGATGTCTTTTCTGATTGCCTTCCAGAACAGTTTGCGCTCTTTGTCTTGATTCAAAAGAGCTCAGCACCCATACCCTGTCGCTCTGGCATTCAGGTATATTGATTGATACCTGCTTTTGCATTTGTGATGGGAGGGGGCAGAAGCAGTTGTAGGTGGAAGGAAGGATGAGCCAGAGACTGTGAAGGTCTTTTCTTACTGTCAGGCTTTTAAGGGGAAGAGACCATTATGGTGCTGCATGGAGAGTGAAGGCAGGAGAGAGGAGGGTTTGAGGGATGAGTTAAACAGTGTGAGAGAGCTGGTGTTGTGCACACAGGATTAGAAAATGTTGGATTAAAAGTATCTGGTGCAGTAGGGCTGCACTAGATAGATGGCAGAATTGAATGTGTAGCTGTTCTGATAAGAAAAGAAGAATTGACGCGTGACTAGGGAAAGCTCCTTCTCTGTCTTAGCATTGCAGAATAAAGACCTTCAGCCTGTAGTTGCCTCCTAAGACAAATGATGTTACATCTATAGAAGTTATCCCATTTGGTGCTGTAGATCAAATGGATCAGTAGCCACTAGAAAAAGATACACAGTAAAAGTGATCTCTGCAGATGTTTTAGAAGCATTGCTTTGACTGTCACCCGCAGAACCAGAGGATGTTGCTGCCAACTTCTCCATCTGTTGTCCAGCAGCCATTGTCGAGACTGTACTTCTGGTGACATTTTGCTGTTGGAGCACATGGAAGGGGCACAAAGCTGTAATGCTGTCACAGGGCAAACCAGAAGCTTTGGTGTATAGCTTAACAAACATTTTTGGGGAGCAGCTTCTGACTGTGCCTGTGAAGACCTTGCAGCCAATTTCTGGCAACTCTGCTTTTTCTGCAGACTGCCAACTGTTAAATACCACTTCTAATGCATTCCAGAGAGGGGAAGGGGAATACTGCGGGCTTCAGTAGGCAGCATCTTAATGATTTGAGGTAAAATAAATAAGCTGGATGAGAGGACGGGGAGGGGGAAAATAAAGACCATACGGGATCCTAGGCACTTGCAAGGATATTTAAAGCTATACCTTTGCCAGTTGTCTGTACCCAGCCACTGTTTCACAGCAGCCTTAATGCTTTGCAACATTATGCTGCCATCACCCATCTTCCCAATAGACCTGAGCATGATAAAGCTTTGAATGATGCTTCTCCAAAACAAGAAAAATTGTGCCAAGAACAAAGGCTTTGTTTAGATAGGCAGGGAAATGCCCAAGGGGAAAAAAGGGGGATATATTTAACATTGGAGGAGAAGGGAATGTTCAGCAGTGAGAACGGATATTTTGGTAAAGGGCAGTAGGGAGGTAACAATCACAAGGTGGCCATTACAAGGACCCTCAAGTTAGAGGGGAGCACAGAGGGAGGGTGCCAGGTGCACAGGGAACTCTGCTTACCAAACTGATGGAGTATGTAGCATCCTAGTAGGAAAACAGGGATATCTCAGTAGGTGGTTGCATGGTGGGTGTGCACTTTAAAGTGTCTTCCTGCAGCCCCAAAGCAGCCAACAGTGAGGGACCAACTAGCTCACCAGCAGACTGTCTCATGCTTTGGGGGATACTCTATGGGAAACAGAAAGGGAGCATGGAGCAGGAGAGGCTCTTGGTTGGCTAACATTTACTGCAATAGGGGAGGGGGGAAGGTGTAGGACACTTTCCTAGACTTAGAGATTCCTGCTTTGTTTTCAGCTCAACTGCTAATCCAAGGTCAAAACTAATCTGTCTGTATCTTTTCTCTCCGCTACCTTTTCTGTAGATTTTAAGAGCTTAATGTGTGGTCTCTGTGCTGACATACTAGTAACTTAATCTTAATTTCAGTGCCAATAATCATGAAATACCTTTGCTGATTTGGAACAGTCTGCCCTTTGTATGCATTCCACTGTTAAGCTGCTTTCTGGAGCCCTGATTAATAACCTAAATGACTTATCATAATTAGCTGCTACTCAGCCTTAGCACTGGGGAAAGTACAAATTTGACAGCTTTCAGAAGTGAGTGGAGCATGATCAGGAATCTACAAACATTCCTGCCTTTGTCCTCATCTGGAAACTTTTTCTATCAAAAAAGGGATTTTAATTTTTTTGAAGATAATGTATATTTAAGACTTCCTTTTAATATATGCTGTACTTTTTAGAATTAGTGTGCATTCATCCTTGCACCAACTTTGTTCTCTAGCACATCAATTACTTCAAAATACGAATTATGTCTCGATTTCTCAGAGATTTTGTACCTACATAACACACTCCTCTGGGGTCTCTTCCATGGTGCATGAATTGCTAAGGAATATTACATTAATACGTCTAGAGTACCAGTGCTGGGAGATACACCATCTAAAATAGGGAGAAGCTGTTTAATTGAATTTTGTTCCTCTCTAAGGTCAATGAGATATAAATTACTGGGAGCACTACTGCAAACGTGAGCATTTTTCTTCTCTGAGCATTGTAATGAACTTTCCTTTGTGAAGGGATGTGTCAGTAAGAGAAACAGATGCATGTACAGGAAAGCAATGTTGTATGTTCTGGATGGTTGAGGTCTCAAGCAAGTTTAACAAAAGCTCATGGGTACATCACTCCAACAAACAAGGCAAAATTCCTTTTCCCTGCCCTTAATACTGAGCAAGTTTCAGCTTTTTCTCTGATGGGTAAAATTTTCTGGAATTCCTAAAAGGTTTTAGTATTTCAGAGCCAAAGTCATGAAGGCAGGGCTGAGTAAATTTTTCAGAAAATTTGCATTTGTGTTTTTAAATCTTCACAAGTTGCATGGTTACAATACTGTTTGAGTGACTGAGCACAGTGTCTGCTTCTTCTCATAGCTCTTTGCAGCAGGTAATTTCTGCTGACTTTTAGAACAAGATAAACATTGGATGCCTAGTTGATTTTAATAGGTGTTCAACTTTGGTGAAAGTTATGCTTGTAAAATAATGTCAGTGAAATAAAACCAAAGGCTTGTGTACAAAGGAAGGGCTATGTGTTTTCTCCCTCTGCATGACAACACAGAAGGCTCGTCTTGTAGAGGGATCACTTGTAGGAATGAAGCAATAGCTTTACTTCTGTCTCTTTCAGTTGGTGGGACTGTGTTCGGTTAATTAGTCACATTACTAAGGGATACATTTTGCTGCACTCTAACACAAACATGTATGTCCACCTACAGATGATGGTGACAGCTTTCTTGAAATGCATAGCAACGTGGACTGCACTGTAGCAGGGTACACATTAAAGCTACTGCAGGCTGCTACAAATGAGCCAGGCACTTCCCTAATAACAGCAGCATACTGCGCTGTACCCTGCTTCCTCGTTCAATCTGTTTTAGTGGGTTGTCTCCAAATCATGACCTAAGTAAAGGATCTGAGAATTAGCGCTGCGCCTGGAGAGTTTGATGAGGATGTTCTGGCTGCTCGGGTGTGTGTATTGCTGGCTGCTCTCGTTTATGGGGGTGCGCATGCACTTGTGTTGCAGCCTAACGGTTGCTGCCAACAGAAATAAATCTGAACATTACTGCAGTGAAGCTAATGGGCCATTTCCTTCTGATCATCTTGTAGAGGCCTTTTTTGAAACCGAGGTTCCCATGCTCTCCTTTTGCTGGCAGCATTGAAGCCTATGCAGATTCAGTACAACACATAATCTCAGTTATGACTGGAGTCTTTTCCGGCCAAGCAAACAATCTTCAAACTGCACTACAGTGACAAGAACCTCAGGAACCCCTTAAGCTGAGGCGAAGGATGCTGCATTTATCCATGGCTGTGTGAGCTAACCTGGGATGGTTTTAAAGCAACAGCCCCTTGAAAGGGACTTTAGATTAATTAGTTTATTAAAAGCATCTGCTGCCTTGATTCTTAGCTTGTCTCCAGTCAAGCTGAGCAGGTATGTTAGCAATTGCATCTGCTCCCTCTGGATTCCTTATAACCTTCTGACTTTTCTTACCATTTCTCGTTTAAGATTTATGTCCATCTCAAAGAAGGGAGTGGTGCTGATGGGCTGGATGCTTTGAAGAACAAACCGCAGCTTCACAGTATGGTGGCCAAGAGCCTTTGTCAGAATGCCTCTGGGAAGAACTACATCATCTTCACTGGCCCAAGCATTACCAGCCTGAATCTCTTTGAAGAATTTGAGAAGCAAGGTGTGTATCGAGTCACTCACTGGGCTTTGATAATGACAGACCTTGGGGCCTCCTGCCACTGAATTAAAAAAACTCCCAAAAGGCTTCACAGACTATTTCAGTCCCTTGTATAGATAAGTTGGTCATCTCTAAGAAAAGTTCTCTGTCATATAAAGGTACTATACAGAGGATTTTCTAAGTTGCTCTTTAAATCTTCCTCTTTAAATCTTCTTCAAGTTTACATAAGGATGTAAAAACAATTTAAATAAGGTTATTTAAAGCCCTTGCTCTGTTCTTTGCCTTAGAAATGGGAGGTCTAATCTCCTATATGTCCTGGGGGACCTTTCAAAGGATTTCCTAGCTGCCTGTGATTTTTCTGTTCCCGTTGTGAAAGAATAGGGGTGGAATGAATCCTTAAGGGTGTGCCTTAGAAGTCCTTGCTATTTTAGTGTCTGTTAAAGATGTGACTTCTCTAGATGGCATTTTATGCCGTTGTAAAAGCCCTAGCAAAGTTTGGGGGGTTTGCCAGTATCAACATGCCTTGGTAGGACAGTTTTTAGTTTTGGAAGCATAACCTCTATGTTAGCAAAAGCACACTTGCCAGCAGAATGGCCATTGATAGGGCTCTCCCAGCCACTTTCTTGCTAGTGCAGAGAGTAATCCCAGGTCATCCTCTCTGTCAAATGCCCCCTCACTTTGGATGTTGAAAAGCCGTGCTTTCAGAAATGCTGAGGACTTGTGAATCCCCTGAAATTGTAGGCTCCTGCACTCTTGGCAGTCAGTTATAAGTCATCTCAACGCAACTCTTAGCTCGTTCTTCAGTCAGCACAGCCTTTCAGAGTTGGTGTGGTACATAGAACAGATCCTTTGTAGCAGTAAGACTGGAGGCTGCCATTATGCATCACGTATGAGGAGGCTACGGCGCCATTTCCCTTTTCAACACACCACCGATGACTGAGTTTTGCTTTTGGCATGTTTTTTTTTTTGCATCACAGAAAATTAAACCCACTTAGAGTGTTCAACGAGGCCATGTGCAAGGTCCTGCACCTGCATCAGGCAATCCCAAGCACAAATATGGGCTGGGTGATGAGTGGATTGAGAGCAGCCCTGCAGAGAAGGACTTGGGGGTGTTGGCGGATGAAAAGCTGGACATGAGCCAGTGATGTGAACTCGCAGCCCAGAAAGCCAACTGCATTCTAGGCTGCACCAAAAGCAGCGTGGCCAGCAGGTTGAAGGAGGTGATTCTTCCCCTCTGCTCCAGTCTGATGAGTTCCCCAGCACAAGAAAGACGTGGACCTGCTCAAGTGGTTCCGGAGGAGGGCCACAAAGATGACCAGGGGGCTGGAGCACCTCCCCTATGAGGACAGGCTGGGAGAGTTGGGGTTGTTCAGCCTGGAGAAGAGAAGGCTCCGGGGAGACCTTACAGTGGCCTCCCAGTACTTAAAGGGGGCCTGCAGGAAACGTGGGGAGGGACTCTGTATCAGGGAGTGTAGTGATAGGATGGGGGTTAATGGTTTCAAACTGAACGAGGGGAGATTTAGGTTAGATATTAGGAAGAAATTCTTCACTGTGACGGTTGTGAGACACTGGCAGAGGTTGGCCAGAGAAGCTGTGGGTGGGCCCTCCCTGGGAGTGTCCAAGGCCAGGTTGGATGGGGCTTTGAGCAACCTGGTCTGGTGGAAGGTGTCCCTGCTCATGGCAGGGTGGTTGGAACTAGGTGATCTTTAAGGTCCCTTCCAACCCAAGCCATTCTAGGATTCATTCTATGATTCATTATAATAATGAAACATGGCCCAAAGGAAGGGAAAAGACCAGGAATTTAGAATGTATCTTGATTCTCACTTAAAATCAGAATGCCAGTGAGCTGCACCAGTGCTGTAGCTGTGCACTTCAGACTATGCTGGCACTGAGGGCTGTCTCTGTTGAGCTCCAGCAGGACTTAGCTCCTACATTATTTTAGGTAAGCTGGAAGCTCACAGTACAGTGAAATACCACCATATTCTCACAAGAGTCGTGGTTTTCCCAATGCTGCAAACAGCCAAATGGGAAAGAAGTCAAGCATATTTATAGTGCGCTGGAGTTTTTCCTCTGAGCAGAGACTGTTCTTTAGTAAATGACTGTTTTCACAGCTGATTATAAGCATTACATTTTTAAGACTACCAAAGCAATGATGCGAAATACAGGTTCCAAAAAAATGTAGAGGATAACCCACGTACTTCTAGTACCTGAAATGTGTCAGGTTTAAATGTGAAGACTGACAGACAAAAACCTGACTGCTGAGTTGCAGCCTTTATGCTCAGCTAGGGAAGGATAAAGACAATGTGGCATGACCCAGTTGGTCTATAACCTCAGCGAAAGAGATGCATGGCTACTAAAACAGCTGAGTGTTTATTACTTAAAGATAATTCAGATTATTCACAGGGGTGAATTATTCGTGGGCTTTACACTGAACAGATCATTCAAATTGACAGTTTCTAGCAGATAGCAAATTCAGTTATGTCTTTTTAAAGCATGTAATTTTGACTTACTATCTGATCAAATATGCTAATGCTATACTGAGATTTCAGTTTGGTTCATGATTTGTTATATGGCTTCATGAGACTTTTTATCATATTTGACAGCTGCTTCCAAAATTGAATTTCAGGTCTGGTACACGCTATCACCTTCCTAGGGGTGAAGCTATGGTGGGGATGGGGGGGCAGACACTAAGGTAGCAGGTGTATTGGCTTTGCAAAATAGCGTGGCACTCCTGTATAAAGACCACAGGGAGAATGTCAAAGTGTTTCTCTCTAATAAGGGTGTGGGATTGTCTGCGTTTGCCATGAGTTACTAGGGGCTAGCTCAGATTTTTGCAGGGGGATGGAAGGACTGGAAGGACTATGAGAGACTGGGAGAGGTGAGATGCTAGAGATGTCAAGCAGTGGTGAAGTCGGTAAGAGCCCTGAAGGAGATGGTGTTTACTGACTCCACTGCAAAGCAGCTAATTTATTGCCAGCACCTGCTGGGGTCCTACTGCATTGGCAGTACATTCAGGGAGAGGCAGGCAGAGAAGCCTGGACTCAGCAGAGAGCTCTCTCCTAATGTATCACACAGTCACTCTCAGCAATGACCTTAATGCTTTTTTGGTATGTGGCTTGGCCAACTAAATCTGAACAGGGCTACACCGTGACCAAGAAGTGTCATGAGAGCCTATTGAACAGCATCTATGCTCAGGTGCTCATGACAGTTCAAGACCCATTCTTAAAATGACAAATTTACTTCTCTTAATTCAAGAAAATTCAGTTTCTGGTCTAGAGAAGAATCAGTGGTAGAAAGATCACATTGAGAACTGGAAACAGAAAGAAATTGGTGTTGATCTTAACTGCTTTATGTTGTTTGGAGTTTTTTTTGTGACTATCTACAAAGAAATACAGGGAGATTTAAATAAGCTATAAATTCTTGGGGAACCTAAACTGATTTTTAGGGGAACTAAAGGGAATTCTGGCAAATCTAGAAAGACATACCTGCTAAAAATGTGTCCTCTCAAAATTCTTGGTGAAAAGGACCTGAGGTCTTGGTAGCCAGTGAGCTGAACACAAGTCAGCAGTGTGCCCGGCAGCAAAGACGGTTGACGCTATCGTCGGCTGTGTTAACAGGAGTGTAGCCAATAGATCAAGGGAGGTGATTATTGCCTCCTGCTTAGCACAGTTTTGGACAACACACCCCCAATACAGGAAAGGCATTGATAAACGAGTAAGTTCAGCAGAGGGCCACCAGCCTGACCAGGGGCTGGACTACATGCTCTGCTATGGGGAGGGAACTGTGCTTATTCGACCTGAGGAGAGAAGGCTTCAGGGTGACCCAACAGCAGCCTTATGCTAAGGAGGTTATGGAGAGAATGGAGCTGGCTTTTCATGGTGGTGCATCATGGAAGGATGAAAAACAATAGACACAAACTGAAACAAAGGAAGTAGTTTGGACTAGATGTAGGGTTTTTGCTGAGGGCAGTGGAACAGGATGCCCAGACAGGTTGTGCAGTCTCTGTCCTTGGAGGTTTTCAAGCCCACACAAGATAAAGCCCTGAGCAGTGCTGTCTGACCTCAGAGCTGACCCTACTCTGAGCAGGGGGTGAGACTAGAGACCTCCTGAGTTGCCTTTCAACCTGAATTATCCTTTAATCCATTGGATCCTGTGATTCTATGAAGACTTTTGTGGAACCTAAACTATCGTTTGCTTTTCCTAACCCGAGCTCACACATGCATTACTGCAGAAACCGCAGTGTTCAAAAGCCTGCTGTGTAGCACCTTCACTGTGCCACAGTAGAGAATACGTGCCTAGTAATATAAAGGGATGTTGGTCAACATAATTCTAAGATCTATGAAGATACCAAGAGCTGGGAAAACTTCAGAAAAGGAGACAGGGCACTTTGATCTTTTTCAAAATCAAAAGTCTGAATAGACCTCTTTTGTATGTCCCCTGAAAAATAAAAAGCATTTTTTTCTTTGGCCTCTGAATAGAACTGGAAACCTGCACTGAAATGCCCCAAATTCTCTGTTCCGCGAGCAGACAGCTGTCATTGTTATTTCCTGTGACATTCATTCATAGTACACATCCCTTTTGCCCCCTCTAAGCATTAGTGTTGTCCCTTACAGAGGACAGCATGTCCTAAAGCCCTGTGTCCCCTGCTTCCCTTAAACATATGATTCCCAAAAGTCACTTGTGTACTTTCTGAATGAGCAGGAGCAGCTGGCTGTGTCTCACAGAGCAGCAGGGGTTGGCAAAGCTGCAGGAGTTGCCAGCCTGGGTGACCATGGCACTCCCACGAGCTTTGCAGGATCCTGCAACTCCAGCACGTGGACTAAAGCAAGCTCTCATCTCCTTCCCGTAACAGGCCCCCCAGTTGCCCTAGCTCTGACTTGATCCAGCGTTGTGTGCAGGATAAGCGATTGCAGAATGTGTATTTTTGCCTGAACTAGCTCAAGCCTGGCTGCCTTTGCAAATGGTACTAATGAAGATGTGGTGAAACAGGCTTCAGCACAAGCTTTCCAGGGCCTGGAGACCCTGGGAAGGAATCTTGGGTGACTACACCATATTTCCTCATCTTTGCTAAGCTAGCTTAAGTGTATGCATTTATATTGCAGTTGCAGTTTGAGAAGACCAGAGGAGGACAGCTTGTCTCCATTGACTCCTTTGTATGTGGCAAACACCTGTTGTGACTCTGATTTAATTACACACAAAAACTTGATTGAGCCAGACGGGCATAATTTTTATTGCTTCTATTGCTATAGTAACTGGGTGTTTTTAAAAAACTCTACAGATTAAGTGTGTCATGCGTGATGAGAGATGCTAGTAAATCTGCAGAAGTGCTACACTTTTCTAGGCTATACAGCAAGAAGGTTACACAATGTGTTCCTGAGAGAGGAAATGGTTCCCATTATTCTGTATGAGAAGTAAAACATCCGCTGGAAGCGTTCTGCAGGCTTATTGCCTGAGCTAAAGGAAAGGCTACAATTAATTATTATGGGATCTCAGAGATGGCTGTTGCTATTTTGAAGCTCTAGCGCAATAATGTTGTTATTAGCTTGGTTTTATACCATTGCGGTCTCCTGGAGAGAATATCACCCTTCAGTGAGTCGTAAACTTTAGGCAGCTAAGGAAATTCTTCTCAGGCTTGCTTGTTATTAGAGCAGGAAGATCTTAATATTGGCTAGAAGAAAGCTTTCTAAAAGTTTGCTGTGTTAATGCCAAAGTTTGCAGGTACGTGACCTACACTGTTTATGTACCTCTTAGCAAGACAAGAATTTAAGGAAACCCAAAACCTTCCACTGGAGGTGCAGTTCCTCCTATATTGATTGTAAGCCTGTTGCCATCAGGCTTTTCCCATTGTCACTTTGGAAGGAACTTTGAGATTTCCAGGCACTGATTAATTCATTAGAAATGACCAATGGAGTGCAAATTTCCTCCTTCAGAATGAAGTTCCCCATTGCTGTGTTGGTTGACCTTCTTCTGACATGAGTGCTTTAAATTTCTGATGGAAGAGCCTTAGCTCCTTGTAGACCTGACCACAGCAACTGGACCAATTCATCAGTATTAGCAATTATGATATTAGTATTCCTGTAGTATCTGCGAGCTGTTGAGGGGCTGCTCAGCATGCCAGGCACTATATGAACCAAGGACAAAGGCTGCACCTGCACTCAACAGCTGAGGTCATTCCAGAAAGGCAGAGGCAGAAGAGCCCCGTAAATGGAAACCCAAGAACAGAGGTAGCACACTCAGGGGAAGCCAGACACTGTAGTCTGACTTAGCATTTCCTCTGTAAGGATACCCAGTTACTCAACGTGCAAAATTCAGCATAATGAATAATTTGATCAAACAGGCTTAGCTGACAGATGAGCTTTAAACTACCACAGGCCTCTGCTGCCATATGAAAGATGTGCACAGATGTCACCTGCTTCCATGCCCATCATTTTTTTCCACTCAGGTGGGTTAACACAAAACCTAGGGAGACCGAGAAAATTTCAATCCAAGTTTTCCTTGAGTTCAATTAATTTTATCAGGAAGATCTGCTTCTCTTAGACTAACAGAAGCAAACCATTACTATTTCACAGCCTAATGATAAATTCTAGGGTTGTCGTTATTAGTGTTGGGTCCAAGTCTTGTTTGTGCCTACTCGACTGCGTTGAGAAGCGTTTTGTGGTGTTGGATTTTATTCATTGCCTCTTTCATATATGAAAAGACCAAAAAGCTGTGAGCAGCAGAATGTGTCACCTGTGGAACCTTTGATGTCTGTGCAGGACAAGATCAGTGCTCACTCAGCTAGAGCACCGTTTGGTTTATCTCCTTTCCCTAAAATCCATTTTCATTGAACTTGTAGTTCCATCTTCTCCATCCTTCTGGCACATGCATTTTTTTAATCAACTAGTGGTTTCAGTGGTTCTTGATTATTTAAGCAGCATTTCTTTAACAAACTAGATGATGCAGGTGGAAGGACTACCGAGCTGAAAATCAAGAACTGGGCAGCACAGTGAAGCAGTGGATTAAACCAGAGTTTGTCAGCTATGTATATTGTGATTAAAAGCATCATGGGAGTGATGCAGGAGAATTTATTTCAGTTAACATCTAAGATGCTATAGCTT